TCTGTCTTCTTCTGCTGTTCCCTTTAGTGTTAACTTCCTGTCTGTCTTCTTCTGATGATCCCTTTAGTGTTTACTTCCTGTCCGTCTTCTGCTGTTCCCTTTAGTGTTTACTTCCTGTCTGTCTTCTTCTGCTGTTCCCTTTATTGTTTACTTCCCGTCTGTCTTCTTCTGCTGTTCCCTTTAGTGTTAACTTCCTGTCTGTCTTCTTCTACTGTTCCCTTTAGTGTTTACTTCCTGTCCGTCTTCTGCTGTTCCCTTTAGTGTTTACTTCCTGTCTGTCTTCTTCTGCTGTTCCCTTTAGTGTTTACTTCCTGTCTGTCTTCTTCTGCTGTTCCCTTTAGTGTTTACTTCCTGTCTGTCTTCTGCTGTTCCCTTTAGTGTTTACTTCCTGTCTGTCTTCTTCTGCTGTTCCCTTTAGTGTTTACTTCCTGTCTGTCTTCTGCTGTTCCCTTTAGTGTTTACTTCCTGTCTGTCTTCTTCTGCTGTTCCCTTTAGTGTTTACTTCCTGTCTGTCTTCTGCTGTTCCCTTTAGTGTTTACTTCCTGTCTGTCTTCTTCTGCTGTTCCCTTTAGTGTTTACTTCCTGTTTGTCTTCTGCTGTTCCCTTTAGTGTTTACTTCCTGTCTGTCTTCTTCTGCTGTTCCCTTTAGTGTTTACTTCCTGTCTGTCTTCTTCTGCTGTTCCCTTTAGTGTTAAATTGGAAAAAGCTTCATAACAACACAGAAGAAACTGGGGTAGATTTTGTATAAGATGGGCGTGAAGCAATGTGCAAAGTTTGCAGTCTCTACATCCTGATATTTACACAGGTTTTTAATGATTGTACAGTCATTATGACAATCAGGCATTTATACAGGTGTGCAGAAGATTGCTTTTATATTTTGATGCGATCTATTTGTAGCTTATGGCTAACGGGGAACTTTTAAATCCTCACACAGATGGTAAGCATTAGACGCTACCAACCACAATTACTCCTATTGTGCTCAGTGGCTCCAGGCAAATTAGCGGAGGGGAGGGGGGCTTACAACGCGGGTTAGTTTTAACTCGTTCTCAGGTTACAATTATAGGATTAAGAGTGAAGCTGCCATAGAAGAAACCTCTGATTGTTCTCTGCTTGGCATCAATAAAGTACACCCACGTTAACAGCTTTTCAGGACTGCATGGAAGTGTTTTACAGGTAAAATATGCAGGGAGATCACAGTTTAAAAGAGTGCTATCCTAGTCATTTTCAGGTGTATATCAGTATGTAGTGTCTCTACTTTAAAGAGTCCTCTCCTGCTGATGTTCAGGTGTATATCAGTATGTAGTGTCTCTACTTTAAAGAGTCCTCTCCTGCTGATGTTCAGGTGTATATCAGTATGTAGTGTCTCTACTTTAAAGAGTCCTCTCCTGCTGATGTTCAGGTGTATATCAGTATGTAGTGTCTCTACTTTAATTAACCCTTATACCACATGTCAGATCAACATAGCGTAAGGTATCACTCGTCCATGGCAGGTGAGGTAGTTTGTTAGGTGGTGTAAGTTCCCCTCTGTGATCTCAGTCTTTATTTCCCGGGCAGATGGCGAGGGCCTCATGCTTTATTCATCCTCCACCAGACGGCTCTGCAGTCTCTTCTCCTCACTGACTCACCCTGTTCGAGGATCTCTAACCACACAGCGCGCAGGCCACTGGTCATATTTGAAAGCTTCATTCATTACTTATGTTCAGGACACTCACTCACGCTAGCTCTCTTTACCCATGGTGAAGTTGTGGTAGAATAAGATACCTCCCTTTTGTGGTGGTGCCAGAGAATGAAAGGAAAGAGATGTATAACTACATATACAAATCACAATTTAGTCCAATTTACTTTTATAAAATGTCCATTTCTTACTCTCACTGTTAAAATAAACCTACCATTAAAATGATAGGCTGTTAATTTCTTTGTAAGTGGGCAAACTTACAAAAATCTGCAAGGGATCAAATACTTATTTCCTCCACTAAGTACATAAACAGATCATCATTTACTCCAACCCTAAATTATCATTCATAAGAATTAACCAAAAACCATTAACGTCTATTTTTTATTCTAGAAATACATATGGTTGGTAACCCTACATGAGATTGATTTTATATTTTGTTGTCAGGTTTATTAGCTCATGGCTAACAGTGGACTTTGAATAAATCCTCACACAGATGGTAAGCATTAAGGCCCTGACACACCCAAACTGACACCAAAGAAACACGTCCCGACGGACCCGATTGTTGTGTCGCCTCACGTCGCCCTCACGTCTCCTGCGTCTTGGCCAACAGTCTCACTGGAACACAACCGCAAAGACCATCAGCCGACGGCCAAGTAGCACGTACGCACTGCACATGCGTGAGTGGCAAAACTCTCCTTACCAGCAGGCGGCGGTAGTGTGTATTCTTAATTCAAAAGAGGCAAACCGAAAGACAGACCTGCGTGATATGTACAAACACAAATAGCGTGCGTTCCATTTTCACTCTCGTCCATCAGAGACTGTTTCACATAACGACTTATCGAAAACATGTTTAGTGCGGTACTGGAAAATGAAAAATAATAGCCGTCCGTGTGTGCCTTCTTCACTTCCGTTTCGCTTCTCATGCACTGATTCGCTAAGCTGAACAGCCATCAGAGTGATTTTCTTTCTCCAACATGTTGAATCAGGCGGCGGAAGGTGTCGGCACGGCCGAAAAGACACAACGGTGCAGGACACAACAATCTGAGTAGGGCGACAGGACGCTCATCGACGGCCGAAATCGGCTCGAAGTGTCCGGGCCTTTAGACGTTAAAAACCACAATTACACCTTTTGTCCTCTGGCTTCAGGCAAATTAGTGGAGGGTTAGTTTTAACTCGTTCTCAGGTTACAATTATAGGATTAACACTGAAGCTGCCACTGTGTTTTATTCTAGAAATACATATGGTTGGTAATAGAGATGTCCCGATCCGATCACGTGATCGGGGATCGGAGCCGATCACGTGATTTTCAAAAGATCGGAATCGGGAGAAAAAAATCGGGGATCGGGATTTTTTTTTTTTTTTTTTATTTTTTTTTTTTATTTAATGTTACAAAACAAAAATGACCATGTTCACGTCTTAAAGTCATCCTGAGGCCTTAGTTTTGGTTTAAAATGACACAACATCATGTATGAGTTGCTTCTTTTGGGCTTGTTTTCATTGACCTGGTTGCTTATTTCTCTCAAATCTGGCAACAGAGTGGGCGCAGTGTCTAATAGTAGCAGTAAGCTAACAAGAGGCTACGTTCAGCTGGTGACTCGGGAGTCGGGACAGAGAAAATGTCAGGAGTTTGGAAGTATTATAAAATTGAAAGCGAAGGCAGTGTAACAGCCAGATGCAATGTTTGCAAGGCGGAGGTTCCGCGTGGTGGAAGAACAGAGCTACGTTCAACACGACCAATCTAATACAAACACCAACAACAACACGACCAAGTCCACAGCGGCCACTCAGGTAACGGCCACTGAAACAAACCGACACTTTCAGAGACTTTTCAAGGAAAGAGAAACTGCCCCAGAACAGTGAAAAGCCAAAAGAATAACAGCCAAAGATAGCTGAATTCATCGGTCGGATGACCAGCCGTTATCTGTTACCTTTTTTTCTCTTAATGCATTGCATAAAGATCGGATCGGGAAAAAATCGGTATCGGCAGATTGTCAAAATCAAATGATCGGAATCGGATCGGGAGCAAAAAAAGGTGATCGGGACATCCCTAGTTGGTAACCCTACATGAGATTGATTTTATAATTTGATGTCAGGTTTTTTAGCTCATGGCTTATCTGATCAATATTAGAATCAGTGGTTGACATAAAGTTATATCATCTGTTAGTAAGATATTCCTAAACTTTCATTTGATGAGAAATAACACTTACGGATATTCAGGAAGTGAGTTTCCATATTTACTTTAAAGAGTGTCTAGACTAGATCGTGATGTTCCAATATCTGACCTTCTGGGACCAAATGCAAGGTCCTTCCTGTCGGTCTTAAATAGACTAAGCCTTTTGTTGTTTAGACATGAGTGGAGTTCTCTATTGTGATCCAGTCTGTTGTTGGTTGTTGCCGGGCGATTTCCCTTAACTCGTAAAGTTGGGACATATCACACGGCCGCGTCGACTTTACGAGGCGCTTGTATTTGGAATATTTGGATTTGGAGGAGTTACAAGTGTGCAGGGGTTCAAAATGACGCTCTCATTCAATCAGCACGTCTTCAACTAAATCTGTGCTTACTCAAAATGAATAGATGTGCTTAACGAGACACACCAATAGATGTGCTTAACGAGACACACCAATAGATGTGCTTAACGAGACACACCAATAGATGTGCTTAACAAGACACACACCAACCAAGAGCAAAAGATGTCCGTCCTCTTTAAACCTTTTCATTTTGATCCACATCTATGGTGCGTTTAACTTCAAAATGCAACAGAAATCTTCTGTAATTATCCTGTATCTTTTCCAGCCATACATATTGCAGTTAAACCTGAAATTGTTACGTCTGTCCCTTCTTATATTAAGCAGCTGTAATCTGTATGTAAACCAGATTATAGCACAACATGTAAAGGGGGAATTATAACTAATTGCAGTTCTGTTTAGCAAACCTTTCTACCCGACTACTGTGGAGTCTTTCTGGATGGAATGACAACTGTTGCATAAGATTCTTTATGCTACAGAAAGCTTACTACTTTATAATGTTTAAATGTATAAACAAAAGACTCTGTACATTGAAATGCCACCTTTATTCCAAATGAGAATTAAGCCTTGATAGACGTGTTTAAAACCTGATATCTTCATGTCTATTGAATCCTCTCTGGGCAGAATGCCTCTGAGACTGTTCCACAAAGTGTCCTTGAACGTCAGCTGTGTCTGTTTATGTTATTCTTTTCCATGCTCATGTTTGTTTGCTCACAGTTTGTGTGTGTGTGTGTGTGTGTGTGTGTGTGTGTGTGTGTGTGTGTGTGTGTTTGTGTTTGCGTGTGTGTGTGTTCCTCAGTTCTTCAGAAGGGAACAGGGAGACTTCTTCATTGGCTGCTTGTTTCTAACGGAGCTCAGCACACCCTTCGTCTCCATGGGGAAGATACTGATCCAGGTGAGAAAACACACACACGTGCTGACACCAGATGCATGCTGGGAAGTCACACACCTGTCATCAGAACACTTTGTTCATCACGAATACAGATACATTTTATAAACAGTAAGTAAAATGTCTATTAAAAAAATAATACAAATATTATATAAACACAGGAATGTTAGTGTGTCTGCAGTGTGTTTTTGTTCTTTTCACGAAACTGTGTCTCAGGGCTTCTTAAAATGTAATAAACTATGAATGGGTCATACTCACTTAACGGGAAGAAACTAAGCTAACTGACGATATGAACCATTTTTACCGAAACAAAACACAAGTCTCACAAGAAGCGTCTAAATGAGCCCTGAGCGAAAAAAAATGCTAACGCACTTAGCACAGAAGTAAAACAGATTTGGACGGACACAATAATTTCATTTTTTTTTACTATGTTCAATCTGAATTTACTTAATAAAAAACATCTATATTGATTCTGACTCCTACAGCCAACTCACAGGTTTATCATTGCTTTGAGAACAAAGATTATTAATTTACCCTTTTCGAAGTGAAGATATAGTCATTTGTTCTGGGCATGTCATGTTTCGAGCCTGAGACCTGGAAAGCAGGCTCGGGGCTGAACTGGTTGACGTCATCTGCAAAATGTCTCAGGTCAACTTAATATCTAGAGAAGTAACTAGTCAATATTTCCAAGACCAAGGATCACAAAGGAGCTTATTGTTAGAAAATGGCAGAAACACAAGAGGTCATTCGGCATTAATCACAAACCGTTACAGCAAATACTGAAAATAAATCCATTGTATATAGAGCTGCTGAGCTGTGCAGGAATGTGGAGCTTCGGTGCAAATCAAGCGGCTTTATTGCACATGGAACAAAGGGCAACTCAAACCCATTGCTCTTTACCACCGCGGGGAATCAGTCAGAGGCCAGAAATCAAAAGCTGCTTTTAAGACTAATTGTTTAAAAGAGTTACTAAGAATTGTGGGTGTTAACACGGCCACAAGTTGTAAAACTGTGGCAAGGATAGACAACTTGCACAAAAAAAAATGTTTGTATTGATAGGAAAACCTTTCATGAAGCGTGTTCAGTCAGTAGCCTCACACTGACACACATGAGCACTCGGGTGGTCCTTAGTGCCATGGACATTTTCCTAATTCATTTATTTTAAGGAGAGTTTCTTGCTATCAAAAAATTGAATTCCGGTGGTTGGAGCCTTAGACTTTCCCACTTTCAATTTGAAGGACCTAATGAGCAACTATACTACAAGTTTAAAATCTGAGCTGACAGAAAATGCTCCGTTGTAGTTTAATACACCACAGTTAGATCACTACCACACATTATTGAAACACATAGGTTCCACCTGCTGAAATTGCCAAACCGGAACAATGAAGAAAGGACACGGAAAACCATGAAAGCAGATTCAGGGCATTAGAGATCACTTGAAAGTAATATGAGAACAGCTCACAGAGAAGGACGAGAACAGCTCACAAAGAAGTAGAGAACGGCTCACAGAAAAGAGAGATACAGCTCACATGAGAAGAGAGAACAGCTCAACATGAGAAGAGAGAACACAGCTCACACGCGAAAGAGAAGAAAGCTCACAAGAAGAGAGAACGGGCTCCAGATGAAGAGAGAACGGCCACAGAGAAGAGAGAACAGCTCACACGATCGGAGAGAAACAGCTCACAAAGAAGAAGAGCCAGAAGAGAACGGCTCACAGAGAAGAGAGAACAGAGAAGAGAGAAGAGAGAACGGCTCACAGAGAAGAGAACGGCTCACAGAGAAGAGAGAACAGAGAAGAGAGAAGAGAGAACGGCTCACAGAGAAGAGAACGGCTCACAGAGAAGAGAGAACGGCTCACAGAGAAGAGAGAACAGAGAAGAGAGAAGAGAGAACGGCTCACAGAGAAGAGAGAACGGCTCACAGAGAAGAGAGAACAGAGAAGAGAGAACGGCTCACAGAGAAGAGAGAACGGCTCACAGAGAAGAGAGAACGGCTCACAGAGAAGAGAGAAGAGAAAGAGAAGAGAGAAGAGAGAACGGCTCACAGAGAAGAGAGAACGGCTCACAGAGAGAGAACGGCTCACAATAGAAGAGAAACAGCTCACAGAGAAGAGAGAACGGCTCACAGAGAAGAGAGAACGGCTCACAGAGAGAGAGAACGGCTCACAGAGAAGAGAGACGGCTCACAGAGAAGAGAGAACGGCTCACAGAAGAGAG